AAAAAAAATTAAAATTTTGTATAAATAAAATGTGTAAAACATATATGAACACAAATTTCTACTCAACATTCAATCTGCATATTAACTAATCACATTATCACATATTTCAAACTTCAAGTGTGAACTTGAAATTTCGAGATGTGAAGGGTTTTTGCTTTAGTTCTACGCCAAAGTATAATTTGGCTTACTTTCTCTGCCTGTCTAATTTTATCAATAATACAACTTCTGTCTTATATTCCGGGTAGATTGAGGTTAATTTTGGTTGTAGTTACTTTTCTTTCACAACCACAAAATCCATGTAAAATAATCACCTAAAGTAATGTATTATTAAGTTCATTTTAGAAAAAAGAAAAAATTATTATATCCTAACATTTTTACTATCAAAATATTTAATTATAACTATTAAATGTGTAAATAAATATAATCTTTAATTTTATTAAATTTATCATTCAATTACTATTAAACAATATAATATTTTTAATATTAAAATATCATAATTTTCCCTTTTCCACTGTTCACTTAGTTTTACTATAAAAAATTTTTTATTTCTACTTATTTCACCATTTTGTTTGTTCAAACAATATCGTCTGCAATTTCATTTCTGTTTTGGCCAACGATGGCCATTTCATAAAATCAGAAAAAAAAAATTAAAAAAACCTCAACCAACTACTTACACAGTTAATTGGTAATCTTTCTTTCTAGTAAAATAACAAATTTAAATTTAAACTGTAAGTATGCCCATAAATTGAGTAAAGAGATAAAAAAATGATTGTTTCATATCATGTGATCCAACTTTTTTTTTTTTTTTTTAAAGATCATGAATAACATAATACACTGTCATGTGCCCTGGGAATCACCATGGATTGTTTTAGGGAAGTTGAGGAGGACTGAGGATAAAATCAAAACTTATCCCATCTCTCATTTTTCAGTCATTAGAGTACAAGCCTTGGTCACATGATGAGCTTCATAAATGTTCACATTTTCTCCTCAATGCTGTTGAACCACCTCTCTTTTTAAGTCATTAGGGTACAAGCCTAGGTCACATGATGCATTTCATGAAGGCTTTATTTGAGTACATTTTTCAAATTGTTAGTTTTTACTTTTTATAATTTTATTATTATTTTAAAAATATATAAAATAATTAAAATAAATAATAAATATTTTATATATTTTTAAAATATTAAAAAGCAAAAAACCTTACAATTATAACTCCAAATCAATACTAACAAACCAAGCCAAAATGTTCACATTTTTTCCTCAGGGTTGTTGGGATTATTTATTTATTTATTTTTTATTATTTAAACTTTTGACGCTTTTCGCTAGGTAAAATTCAATAAATAGTCTATTAACTATATAGTTTATTTCAATTTAGTGTAGAAACAATTTTGTCTTTCAAAATTATTTATAAACTACCAATTTTGTTTTAAAATGGTTTACTTGACAAATATTCCATTAATTAGACTAACGGAATGTTGGTCTAGACAAGTTGGCATAAACAAGTTGCCTCCTAAGCTTTTAAAAAATGTTAAATATAGTACATATATTTTTTCTTTTTGCAACATTTTGTTTTTAAAATTTAAATTCTATGTCAAATATAATAATTAATT